GCACTGCAGTCCACAACAGCTTTTCCCTCTCTGCAGCAGGGCCCCCTGCCAGAAAAAGGGGCAGCAGGGGCAGCACTCCCTGCTGCCCCTGTCATAGTAAGTCCCCCCTTGCCAATCCAGCAGCTGGGCAGTTGCAGGGCCAGACACCGGCCAGCAGGGCCCCATAGGCAGGGAGCAGGGAGTGGGGTTATTCCCCTTACTGCTCCCAGGGAACCGCAGTGAGGTCTGCCCACCCCAGTTGCTGCTGCCACCGCTCACTCTGTGCCTAGGGCAAGCGGTGGAATAAGTCCCTTCCTGCTCCCCTCCCTATGGCATCTGGCAGAGGGGGTTTATTCTACTGCTTGCCTCAAGCAGGGAGCCAGTGACAGTGGCAGTCAGGGCAGGCAGACCCGGCTACATTTCCCCAGTGGCATTGGGTTGGGGAATAAGCCCCCTCTGTGCCCCCTATGCCTAAGTGACCATGGGGGCTCACTGCTGCAGCAGCAGCGAGGGGGGAGTACCTGGCAGACCTGGCTCGGGTCCTTGCCAGTGGGACAGGGGAATGAAATTCCTCTCTGGCCAGACCCCCACCACTGCCTGTCCCTGCCTGTCCCTGCTCCAGCTGGGGAGCAGAGGGGCGGGGTCAGCCCTGCTGAGCTGGAGCAGAGAGCCCAGCCGAGAGAGCATGCTAGGATGCTGGGGGACTCTAGTTTAAGTTAAACTAGGAAGGGGTCTGGGACAGACATTGCATAAACCGGTTTGAGCCAAATCAGTTAAGTCTGATACTACATTTAACTAGGTTCATCTCAAACAGGTTTCGGCCATTTTGAAACTGGTTTTTATGTGCACTGAATATCTCTTCTGTTACAGATTTAAACCAGTTTCTGATCACTTAAACTGGTTTGTGTGTAGTGTCTGTCCCTATCCCAAATGTCAATATTGAATTGCTTTTAAGGAGATGTCTCATGTATACAATTGTTTTCCCCAAAGGGTATAAAACTCACTAGGTATTTTCCATACCCACATGAATCCTGAACAACTTGGGATCAGGTCAATAATGAAAGAATCCAGAAGTGGATTTTGCCTTTACAAACAGAAAACATTGAAGTAATTCAGTTGAGAGCTCACAAATAATAATTTTGAAGAATCTACATTGAAGGGATCTCACGTGAATGTGAGGTCAACCCAGCTACAGCTCAACATCCGATTTAAATAATTGCCCATCACTAAGGTGTCACTGAAAGATTTAGTTTAATTTATAAATGGAGCCTACTACAATGTACAGAAACAGAGGGATGGGGATTAGTAGCCATTAAAACTACAGAGGAACTAGATTAAAAGCTACAAAGGAATTCCAAATTTCCCAATATACCTGTGGATTCAAATCAGCATAATATTCAGAATTGGCTGATCTGATCAGTATGTGCGTGGAAGAAAATGGGGTTCCTTGTTGGCAGTGAAATCAAGTTTTCACATTTGTGGGAAATGCTTGATGAGGTCTTCTGTCAGTTCAAAAAAGTATCATTGGTTATGTTACAAGCACATAGAAAGGCAGACCAACAGTAGTATCTATATTGTCTGGTGTCCTTATATCCAAAAGAAGCTGCACTTGCAGCATTCCCGTGGTTCCGAGAATCTAAAACTGGAGTCATGTCAGTGACTACATTTACTTGAGATCAAGTAAATTTTTTTAATACTCAAATCCGAGAGGCTTCAGAACATTTAAGTGCAGGTGTAGATTAAGTCCTTTAATGCAAACCAGCACAACCCAACCTATACAGTGGCGTGGTGAACTATTGGAATTGATCAAAAGTCTATTCTGTTCTCAGATAAATGGTCTGTCTGGACAATTCCTAAGGCAATGAGAAAAGATTTTTTATTTTTATTTTTTTGCCATGGCCACAGTTGGGGTCCATCCAAAGTTTAAAGAAGCAGAAAAAGATTAGGTAAACTGGGTTGGTGACAAATTTGAAACAACTATCTTAAAGATTATATCATTTCTTGTTTAATTTGTGTACTATATGACTCAATATATCAGAACCGGAAAGGGTCTCTCATGAGTCAGGCCCCTCAAAGGTCCTTGGGAGACACTCCAGGTAAACAGCACTGGAAAATTACCTCTTACATCTAGAGGCTATAAATATTTGCTGGTTGTAGAATCTTTTCTACTAAAAGTCTGTGCAGCTCTGACAGCAGCTAGAGGTTGGCATCATAGCACTTACAGGACCAAGATACTCTAGACCAGTGGTTCTCAACCTTTTTTGTACCAGGCAGGACCCATTTGTAAACATAGATGGCCAGTCCTGACCCAGTGCCCCCTCACTCCTGACCTGCTGCCCCCAGGTCTCAGCCCCCAGCGTGCATGTCGGGGGGAGAGGACGCAAGCAGCCCCTTGCAGGCTGGAAGTCTGCCAGCCTGGAAGGGAAAAGCCACAGTTTCCTACATTTTTCTCGTTTAAAGGGAGAATCCATTTTTAAAGTTTGTTTGCGACCCTTTCATATATTCTTGCGACCCACTTTTGGGTCGTGACCCATGGGTTGAGAAATGCTGCTCTAAACTATAACCGTAACCGTAACTCTGTCCCTATGAAAAGGCCAACTTTCTAGCACCATTCTTCACCAAGCTCCCCACCATCATAACCACCACGTATCCATCCAACTGTCCATTCTGTTCTGTGATTTTCCAATTCTGGAAAATTACAAACACTTTTTTTTCTTAAGAAGACAGTGCTGCCTGTTGTTATTGCCTGTTTAATGTGTCAAAGCTGGAGTTTAACATGGGGAGATTTTTATAGTCTAGCAGCATTTGTGGAGGAGGATCCTACCAAAGCAGCTGCTAGTTTTTCTGCAGACAGGTATCTCTATAGAGGGGACCTGTCATGAAAGTGAAGCCCCTCTGCAGCTTACCACTTCCACAAAGATGCTGGCACTGGTAGTAGGACTTGTCCTTTTATCACAAGTCCCATTCTTCTGAAGTGTATTCAGCCAGCTCAAGAACTTTTCCCTCTGAACTGACCACTGTTTTACAGAAAGCCGTGTCTCCTAGAAAATAGCTGTTCCTTTGCTAAATATAGTTCATTGTATCTCTCATGCACCATAAATACCCCATGATTAGGAAAATCTATTCCCTGTGAAGCATATTAGTTCAATATAAACTTTTCAAAAAGCTTTTTGCACATTATTGAAGAATGGATTTATCAGCTGTTGATCATGTTTTTCGATGTCTAAACACAACACATGGGAGCCTGATTGGTTTATGAAAGGGTTTGTATGATGGTAGCTATCTACAGTATCAGACGGCTGGGCTCACTGACCCAAGAGGTCCCTTCCAATCATACGATTCTAGTTACGTTGAATAACTTCAGTACATTTTGTCAATAAATAATTAAATAATACTAAACACACCTTGATGTCATGCACAGTTTTTTTAACCTATAACCTTTCTGGAAACTATAACAGATTTACCTGAAGATCTTAAAAAAATAACTTTTGCTCAGAGCTTTTTTTGTTACACTGCAGTTGAAAGTAAGATTTCCATGTGTGTGGGCATATCCATGTTAGTCTCTAATCTAGTTGCCTAGGTAAAAATACCAGCGAGATGCTGGCAACACACGCTTAAGCACAGTTTGGCAACCCAGATACATATCCAAGGTTGCCAACCCTTAAATCTAAATATATGCATTAAAATAAATAACAGACCTTCTCCATTGATATACCACAGACAAAGGCAGTCATGTGAAAGTGTGGTATGTATAAAATAGAGAGGCTAAGGGCTTGTCTTCTCTGTAGTGTTAACTTAAGCTATAATTTGAGTTTTGCTTTGATCCAACTCCTGTCCACACATACAAATTGCTGGTTTGCGTTAAGTGATACTTTAAAGTTAGGCCTTCTGGCCTGTCAGGGGATGTCAGTTGAAGCTTCACTGCTGCTGATGCTCCAGTAATGCAGTGGGAACTCAGCTGCAGGTTATAGTTCAAGTTGTCATGGCTCTTCAGTTACTAATCCAGCCTCGGCACACTGCTGATGAACTCACTCTGTGTACTCAAGTGCTGTTTTGTAGCATGGGCTCTCTCACTTGAGTGAACCTAGCTTTGGGTAGAGTAACTCCACTGCAGAGAGAGTAAGCCCTATGAGGAGATCATCATTTTTCCCCTTCTCACTGTTTGTGGTACACAAATGTATGGAATCTTCCCTTCAAATTTCTCCACCATTGCAGAGCAATGCAATCCTATATCTCTGCTTTTATTCCCTGCTACATGCCTGCACTGTCAATGCATTGGGACTGTCTGAGAACACCAGCATGCACTGGGACATTTTCACATTCTGATCAGAGGACAGCAAAGCCAAGCAGCATTGCATCTTTTTTTTTTTTTTAAGTGCAAGATATTTGCCTTTGCCAGACAGATTGTGTGTCCAAATCTAAAATTATGAGTGGTTAGGCGGCATCCTATCTTTAATTAGTTTGCACAGACTGAGTCATTTTGCAAGCTAGACATTTTAATTTACAATCTACTGCACTGCAGCACTTCTCTAGGCCTTCTGCTGTGTAATGTATTCAACTCGCAGCACAAGCTTTAAAAATACTGGAGCACTCCCTATCATAGTTCACTTGTTTATTTTATGCTTTCAATTTTAGTTGCAAATCAAACATGCAGTTACAGAGGCTGAAATTCAGAAGCTGAAAACAAAGGTAAGAATCAATATGTAGTTAATACATGCTGGTATTTTTTTTGTAATGTGAATGCAAACCTAAAAATGTGTAACTGTGGGTGAGGAAACCAACCTGTTTTTTATGAAAGGCTGCTTAAGAAACATGAGTGGCATAGCTAGAACTTGCCTTGGTATAAACTGTCTATCTGAAGTTTCAGCAAAATCTAAAACAGTTCTATTAACAGAAATTGCCAATGTATGTAGCTTCAATTGAATATAAATGTTATATAGGATAACATAATGACTAAATGACATACCTTTAGCCTGGTACTATGTGTATTTCCTTTCACAATTCCTGAAATAATGTTTTGGTTGAATAAATGTAGCCACCTTGAAAGCTTTCTGACTAGCAGTTGCCTTAAGAGTTACTGGGGTTTTTTTGTTTGTTTTAAAAATAATTTTCCTTTCATTAGCTACTAATTTATTTTAAAGTATTTAATCACATTTTACATGCAGTACAAACTACTGCGTGTTGTTGCGGTGCTGTTTAAAATGTATTTTATAAAGGCAAAATATGTCCAATTCATGGAGAAAATTATTTCTTGATTTGTTCTTAGAAATTAGAGTTAATTTACTGTATTTAATAAAAATTAAAGGTACTCATCATATATTTGGCTTTCTTGTACTAGGATAACCTTTTATAAATTCAACTGATAATAATCCAGCTGTTGAGTAATGTTAAGTTTTATGATACCATCTTTCCTGCCTAGTTTAGCTACATTAAAGAAGGAATTAAAGAAAGACAGAAGAGCATTTTCTTTATTAGAAGAGAGTTAAGATTTTTTTCCTAAATAACATCTGTATCCACAAGGTATTTTGTTTCCTGTTTCTCAGCTGGATCAGCCAGGTATCTGTTAAAAAGAAATTGTGAAGTCATTTTCTTTTGTTTTTCTCTTCTAGCTTCCTCTTTGACTTTGCAGTTGGATCCACATGGGCAGACCCTTGTGCCCATGAGGAGCCCTGTTGTCCTAATAGGGATGCTACAGAGAGATAGGCATTCACTTTTGCAGGTTCAGTTACATGACTGAGGCTGTGGTCCTTTTCTTCCTGAAAGGTACCTCTCCCAAAGTTTGAAATAGAACCGGTATTGAATCTACTGGTGAACAAACCCATTCAGGCTACAAGTTATTGTCTCTGTGTGTGCCTCATTTAAAACATCAGTACAGCTTTGCCAGGGTGCATTAACTACTTTTGATAAGTAAATGGGATGAAAAGTATGATTTGCTTTTCGGAAATTTGGTGGTTTTGAATCTGCAAATGCCAGAGCTTTCTGGCCCTAATCCAGACAAGCACTTACAACTACAAATAACTTTAATAATGATAATAATGATGATAATAATAATAATAACACCACCAACAACAACAGCTAAACCATACATGACATTTTTCATCCCTAGGTATCACAGAATGTTACAAAGGAATTGAATATTCCTTAGTTAATGGACAATACTCATGCTTAAAGTAAAGCAGGTCTTACATGCTTGGTGGCCACAAGGCTAGGAAGAACAGTACTTTATAGGGCAGAGGTTTATAAAATAGAAGGCATTTTTTCTTTCAAAATTACCCCAGTTTTGCAGTTGCAATTTTGTTTGGTTCTGAAGGTGCTCCAAAAGAAAGTAACACCTCTTCCGAATGATGCTACAGGACCACACGTGACCTCAGACTGCAAAACAAAAGGGATACATCCAAGTCCTCATCTAGTGTGTGATCATAGCTTGTGTGGAGGAGCAGCTTCAAATTTCTAACTTAACTAAGACATTTTTATGGCTCATAATTGAATGATTAGTAGGAACTCTCTTTTTAACACAGAGTTTACACTGTTTAAGCTAATTTAATTTCATGTTTGAATATGTGATTGCTTTGATCCCAACAATAGAGTTTAAAAATAAATCAGGATTACATTTTATAATAAAATCAGAATTTCTCTATCCTTTCAACAGCTATGAAGTAGATTAAATATTAAGTTAACAACTTTGTGTCAATATAATTCCAAAAAACCTTCCAAACCAAATTGTAATTGTAGTTTTGCTGATGTACCTTCAGTGTATTGAGCCCCTGATCTGTTTATTTAGCTTTGTAAATTAAGTTGATTGTGATTGAGAAATAATTCTGGTCTGAAAATGTGGCAATAGTTTCAAAGTACCAAATCGGTTCTAATTTTGGAAAGACGGAGAACTAAATTAGAGGTAGCTAACTTTTTTTGTTTTCTAAATAGCTTTCTGGTTAAATCAGATATTGAAGATATTAGATTCCTGCTAATAGATACCTGTAATTTCGTAGTTTATAGTCACATAAGTGTTTCCTGCCATTGGTTCATGTTCATGGAGCAAAATATATTCTCACTGTGAATGGATATACCAGAGAAATCACCAGCATGCACTACGAGTGAAACATCAGCATTTTAAAATAACCTATTTATTCCACAGGAAAACAGAGGCTGCACAGGAGACCAAAGGCAAAAGACTCAGATTAGTTTGTTCATTATTCTTCCTTGTTAAATAGTAAAAGAATGTTTTCATTATACTATAATACTGTTTGTCTTAACAGTTTTTTACCGTTAGAACCACAAATACACAGCTATTTACTGCTCACAATATTTCAAATCATCCTAAATTGCTGAATAATGAAGCTTTTTACTGACTAGCCTATGAATTTGCTGTGTTCAGCTACAGGCTGCTGAGAATGAGAAAGTGAGATGGGAACTGGAGAAGACCCAACTCCAACAGAACATTGAGGAGAATAAGGAAAGGATGATGAAACTAGAGAGCTACTGGATTGAGGCACAAACCCTGTGTCATACTGTGAATGAACACCTCAAAGAGACTCAAAGCCAGTATCAGGCTTTGGAGAAGAAATATAACAAGGCAAAGAAATTGATCAAAGACTTTCAGCAAAAGTAAGAAGTTACCACAGGCTGACAGATTAAATTAGAGACTAGATGGGCACATATTACTGCATCTCTTGAAATACAGACCCTGTTTTCACATTATTCACTTTCACATCAAAATCATTGGGCTATTTATCACTGAGAAACATTAGCATCGAACAGGATTTTTTTTAATGATAAACATGAGATTAATCTGTAATTCTCAACCTCAACTGTTGGAAAACTATGAAGTCACTAAATACAATTGCACACAGCCTAGAGCAATCGTGGCACGACATCTTGATGTTTGGTTAGAAACGCTTCCCTTGATTTGTTATGAAGTTGTATCAGTTTGACTCTCCGTTGTTGTGTACTGATACAACATCAAACAGCAAATTAGTGTGTGACTGTCACACTGTGCTTTTCCTCTTCCTCCTGAATACTTAAGACTTTTTGAGTTGAACAGAACTAGGTAATAAACACCTGAAATGTTTCATTTTGATTCCTACTTCTGACAGCTAACCACGGAAACTATTTAATTCATTTATAGAGAACCTCTCATTCCCCAAAGAATTTTACATAGAAATTGTTCCTCCCTTGCTGAAACACAGTATGTTTGGAAGGAAACTCTGCTGTTTAACAGCATTAACCAGCTATAAAAAAAACCAGAAAAGAGCAAATATGCTTTACCTCTGAAACTCTAGGACGGATTTATAGTTTACAGATTTATGATTTATGGTTCAATAAGGACAAGTGCAAAGTCATTCATTTAGAATGGCACAGTCCCATATGCCAGTACATGCTGGGAACCAACTGGTTAAGCAGCAGCTTGGCAGAAAAGGATCTGGGAGTTAAGTTGGACAATAAGCTGAATATGAGCCAACAGTGTGTCCCTGTTGCAAATAAGTCTAACAGCAGGCTGTGCTACATTAGTAGAAGTGTTGCCAGCAGATTGAGGGAAGTGATTATTTCCCACTATTTGGCATTGGTGAGGCCACATCTGGAGTACTGTGTCCAGTTTGCCTCCACGCCCTACAGAAAGGGTGTAGACAAATTGGAGAGAGTGCAGAAGAGAGCAGTGAACATGGTGAAGGGGGTGGGGCACATGACTTCTAAGGAGAGGCTGATGAAACTGGGCTTATTTTGTCTGGTGAAGAGAAGCCTGAAGAGGGATTTAATAGCAGCCTTCAATTACCTGAAGGGAGGTTCGAAAGAGGATGGCGCTAGACTGTTCTCAGTGGTGGCAGATAACAGAACAGGGAGCACTGATTTCAAATTGCAGCAAGGGAAGTTTACGTTGGATATTAGCAAACACTTTTTCATTAGGAGGGTAGTAAAGCACTGGAACAGGTAACTCAGAGAGGTCATGGAATCTCCATTCTTGGAGGTTTTTAAGACCTGGCTAGACAAAGCTTTGGCTGGCATGATCTGATTGTGGATGGTTCTGTAGGAGGTTGGACTAGATGATCTCCTGAGGCCCCTTCCAACCCTAATTTTTTATGATTCTGTGATTTTAGATAGGTAAAAATGTCATTATCCAAACTAGAATTTTGCAAGTGCTCCAAAAGAAAGCAGCACCTGTTGTGAATGGTGCCATTGGGACCATACACGACCTTAGATTTTCAAAGGAAAGGAAGAAGTAGAAATCCTCATCTAGTGCGATCCTGCATAGCTTCTTTGGAGGATCTATCTCAAACTCCTAACTCACCTAAGAGATTTTTTTATGGTGCATGATCTTCTAATTAGCAGGAACTCTCTTTTTAACTCAGGATTATTTTAAGAAAATGAATACAAAGCATGCACCATTTTAGTAAATAGAATTTACTGTTATAATATGTGATTGTTTTGATCCCAGCAAATGTATTTTTGCCCCTAAGAGAACTTGACTTCATCAAGCGTCAGGAAGCTGAACGGAAAAAAATAGAAGATTTGGAGAAAGCGCACCTTGCAGAGGTTCAAGGCTTACAAGCTCGTGTGAGTAATATTTGCTCAAGTGCCTGAAGACTAAGGTAATTCTGTTTGATAATCTGGAAAAAGTAGTTCTAGTGATACATTTGTGCTAATAATGGCATATGTTTCTCTTAGATTAGAGACTTGGAAGCTGAAGTTTTCAGGCTACTGAAGCAAAATGGGAGCCAAGTTAACAACAACAACAACATTTTTGAAAGGCAGACATCTTTTGGAGAAGTCTCCAGAGGAGATCCAGTGGAGAACCTAGATGCAAAGCAGGTGTCTTGCCTGGATGGCTTAAGTCAAGGTTTGTTTGAACCAACCCAAAGCACTCATTAATTTTTATCATGAATTTCATGATTATGATTTAGGGCTTTACTGTAAATAGTAAATGAATATCATAGTGATCTGGTCATTTCAGTAAAATGCTGTATCTAATAGCACATGCTTTGTGGTATTCCATCTAATGGCTGTGCAGAGCACCAAAATAGTTGTAAAATACATTTTCAGCAGTGAATGTAAATGATTGCGACCTGTTAATAAAGCAGAGGTCATGCCTGATTCATTAAACCTCAAAATAATTTGCAATAGGATGCCTTCAATATTTAAGTTTCATTCAGCATTTGCATTGTGTCAATAAAGTAGGGGAAAATAGTATCTCCTTCTGTGTCATATGTCCTTAATTATCAACCAATTGTCAACCAAAGAACAATCAGAAGCAAATTTAGCAAAATGAGAATTGCAACATAAAAATGACCCATTGTAAATGGATCCCTTTTGTGTGTACAAAGAATATCCAATTATTTGTATTTACAGTGTATGTATATAGGTTCAAATATATCTACCTACAGATAGGTATGTATATATGTGTATATATACACACCTATATGTGTACATATGTGTTTTGTCTCTGTTCATCTGTATATATAAATGGGAAGATATTACATATTGCATGGACATGTCAGAGCATCATTTTAGGCATGATAGTGAATCTCTAGTTTGTGATGTCATTAGATTTCACATGGCTTAACTCACTGTTGTCTTGTTTTGTGTTTTATATATTTGCAGAACACGACAAATTTTAATCAGAAAAAATGTTTTTATTAAAGTCATATACAAAAATCCACCTTTTCCCTTTTCCCTGTTGTTTGTTTTCTAATGAAAAATTTACAGTGGATTTTAAGCTAGCAAAAAACAGCTCATTACTTGATGGTTCTGTAATAGAAATGGAGATAACATAGTCTATTATCGTACACCTGATTATTGTGCAGTGCTGTAATGCAAATTGTACCAATTAAATGTTTTGGTCTAGTGGTTTTCTTCACACTTAAAAACAAGTTTTGGTTTATAGCTAGATCACACTTAAAAACAAGTTTATGGTTTGTGACCATATTATTTTTAAGGAAATCCAGGACACTGCCCCTCAAGTCAGTGGTACTGCTGCAAGCAGAGGCAGGCAGGCAGGAGTGCAGTGCTCAGTCCAGCAGGGAGGTGGAGTTTCATGATGCACCACGCAGGTGGGTGCGCAGGCACTGCTACTGCTGCCCGCACGTGCCTGGCCCTGCTCCTGCTGAGCAGTGGTTGGGGGGGAAGGTGGGGGTTGGGCTGGACGCGGCAACTCCTGCCTGGAGTGGAAATCAGCTGGAATGAGGTGGGGCAGGGTGAGAGCACTGCTGTGATCTGTTTACATGTGTGTGTATGTCTGTGTGGGGCGTCTGTGTGACTACACATGCCCGAAGGCTGGCACTGTGTGGCAGACAAAGTCACCCCACCAAATTCTGTTCTCAGTGCCAAGAAAGTGTCCTAACAGACTTGGGACACTCTCTAAGTCACTCTTGGCACTGAGAAAAGAATTCAGTGGGTGAACTTGTCTGCTGCTCAGTTGTGGCCTTAGGGGAGGAGGATGTGTGCAACCGCCCAGGGCGCCATGCAGTGTTCAGCTCAGCCCACCCCCCTCCTCCAGCCTCTGCTCAGGAGGAGCTGGGCTGAGCACATGCAGGTGGCAGTAACAGTGCCTAGCCGCCTGCCTGCCTGCCTGGTGCACTGTGCCACTCCACCTCCCTGCAGAACTGTGCACCACATCTCTGCCTCTGCCTACAGCAGCTGATTCCGGCACTTTTATTTCAATTGTCACCAACTGGCTGGGATGGTAAATTAGGAATAGTCAGATGCAAAAGCATGAAGTGAGAGGGGAATAACTAGGAACTAGTACATTGGAGAAGAGTAATAGGAGAATTATAATGAACAACAAATTCTATGAGTAAACAAAGGTAACAGCCCAGTGCCCTATTACTCCATAATAACAGAAGTGTCCCAAATGAGGTAATTGCTCTTTTCTTCTGCAAACTGGTACGGTCTCAGTTAGGACTCTGGGGCCCACCAAAATCAGTTTGCACATCATATTCATGTTTGGACTATATGCTTTTATAAAGTATCGGCAACCTGGAGATAGTTCAGAAGAAATATAAGTATCTTGCCAGCAGCACCTCTGATGTAATGTAAGGTAAAAGAATGAGCCAGACACAGTCTGGAAGGAAGTGGAAATCTCTTTATACTCTCAAAAAGATGTTGTCAAGAACATAAGGAATATCACACTTATTAATTAATAATGACAGAACAAGAAATCAAAGGTATTTAACATGCATCATGAGACATTGAATTAAATGTAAGTAAAAAATAATAACTTCACCATTAAAATTAATCAAGTAGTTAAGCAAGCTGTTAGGGAAGGTGGTAGGGGCCCCAGCCCTAGAGACAGTTAAAACTAGACATAGCTGCATCATGCATATTTTAAGAATAATTAAATCAATCCTCAGATGGGAGATCGGCAAATAAGAAGGGCTAGAGATCTATAGAGATTGTTTCCAGCCCAAAATAACTGAGTGAACACTTGGGCAGGTCTTGATTTCCCAGGGGCCTTTAAAATCCTAATAACTGCAGTGTAGAAGATTTTGCAAAAAAAACTGAGCACCCTCAGGCATCATTGATGCTGACAGGTGGTTGTGAGCACCTTACCAGACTGAGTGAATTTCATGTTTCATCTCAAATAAAGTAATTTGTGAACTAGGAAACTTACTATACAGGTAAATCCTGATTTTACTAAAGCCGTATCACACGTTAGTAAAGGTTTTGTATAGTCAGTTAAGGTTTTGATATACACTGCAACCAAAGAACCAGCTGTAAACATGGTTTTAGATATCGCACATCAGGTGTTACCTGTAGTTGTCTCTGGTGGTATTCAGATGTTCAGATTGTACCAAAGAAAAATCAGTAGTAATCACCAGGCTTCCAGTTAGATTTTTAGGCCCCAGCAGCTGCAGCTGGTTCCTCCCAGGAAGAAAGTTCAGGCCCAGGTAGAGCTAATTGTAGGTTTGGGGTATCAGATTAAAATAATTTGGGGCAGAAAAAATGCCTACCTGTATATTTCTACAGTCCCTTGCATGGAGTGACACTGATTGTGATCATGGGCTATGAGCTCTTTATTATATAAGTATTTAATAATATTTAAAGTCTAGTTAAAACTGGTGTAGAAAAATGCATTGAATAAAACAATTTTGTCAGACATATGAATACCTCATTAATATTGATATTTCTATCAATTATTTCACATGTGAACACAAACTAAATATTGCTCTATATACAAATCAATTTGAACGACTATGTTTAACCTAATAAAAAAAGATTGTCCTGCTGAAACCATTCTGCTATATGGTATGCAGACCTTGCAGATTTGCTTCCCATAAATCAGCACAGGGCTTGGGTGTGTTTCTTTCTAGTAGTTATTACTTTGGAATCTCAGAAATTTACAGAAGTAGTTATGATGATAAGAATGTCAATGTATACCTCCCAAACGGTCCCATTACAGAAAATGTTTACAGTCAAGTTTTTAGTCGAGCTCTTGACAAAAGTGATTAAGGAGTGGTATGATTTAGAGAAGTCGTTTTGTTAAAAAAAAGAACATCACCAAAAAAATATTCAGCGTACATGCTGCCTGTGACTGCATCACAGCTGCTTATGTTTCTGAATGTTTACAACTGTTATTCTACAGAATCAATACAGCTGTGAATGTGGAGCTGAAATCTATTCTAAGGCAATTGCCATCATCATATCTCAGCATTAATCACATAAGGCTAACATTTTAAAAGTGGTTGCATATAGGAAAATATCTGATTCCACATATAGGCAACTAAATACAGCTGTGGATGTGGAACTGAAATCTAATCTAAGGCAATTGCCATCATCGTATCTAAGCTTGATTTTCAAAAATGCTGATTATTTATACTCCTGTGAGTTTAGTAAGTACTCTGAAAAGATGAGGTGTAGGATTTTAGTAGAAGTGGCTAAGAAACAGATTTTCCATTTTGTAAAAGGTTTGTAAGTTCAAAATTTTCTTCCGTTCCAGAACAGAACAAAAATTTAGATTTCTGATTAAAAAAAACTCTAAAAAATTATTCCTTTTGGCTTGACTCAAAATGTTTTACTTTGATTAAATTGGAATATATCATTCCAAGTTCAAGATTTCAAGTGCTTTTAGGATAACATGAAAAAAATGAATTGTCCTCTTATGAAAATGTTAAAATGCTTCATGTCACATTTTTAATGACCTTTTGTCAAAATGTATGTGTTTCCACAAACTTGTTTCACTTTCAGTGAATCAACATTTTTTTAGGGGCAGATACTATGTTAAAAAAATCTTAATCAGTTTGACTTATGCAGCAGTTTTGAAAGGCTGTACCACTTACTTAGGTGCCTGTATGTGGATTTAGATGACTAACTTTCCATACCCTAATTTGAGTATAATGGAAAACACAGGAAGAACCTAGTTTGATATTTAGATTCCAAAGAGTCTCTTGCAAAATGAAGAAATGAATAAAATGTTGAATAAAATATTATATTTCTTCACTCAATAAATTCCATAAAGGACTCTCTTAACTGTGCTCAAGGGTAACTTGAGATTCCAAGAAATATTCTGCTCTTAGTAATGTTATTCCTGTGTAAGGTTTTTAAGAAATTCACTTACCATGTGTCTAGTAATATTTTCATTATCTACTCACCGTATGCATGTTCACAGAAGGAGCTGTAAAGTGGGGAGATCCTGATGATTTCTTTGGTAAGTTTTTTTCTCCTGAGCAGCGTTCTGTGATGTGTAGTGTATTATGCAGTCTTTGTGACAGTTACGTGGTGAGCTCCACTCTCCTCTTTTCAGTTCTTACAATGCTTGTTCCAAGAGTATGTCACATACACTATGAGTCATCAGCATTAGAATCCTGTAATGGGGCTGTTCATATGGGATCAGATTCAAGTTTC